AAAAAAAAAAAAAAATACTTGTATCATACACAAGAATACTTCTTGTTTTCATTCCTACTGGTCCAGAGTCAAGTGAAGGGCTGGGGTTGTGGCTCAGCATTAGAGTGTTTGCCTAGCATGTGTGAGGCCCTGGGTTCAATCCTCAGCACCACATAAAATAAAGATATTGTGTCCAACATAAATAAATATATATTAAAAGAGTCAAGTAAAATGTATCACTTACCTTGATATACATTCTGTATATTACTTTTACAAAGAAATTTTCAGTATATTTTGATTTATGACCAAGCTTAGAAATTCATGGAAAAAATTAGTAACTGTCCCCTCCCTAAAAGTAGAAAAGTATCTACTTACCTACATTGTAGTTTAGTTTTCTGTTCATTCTTGAAATGAGAATGTAGAGAAAGATACTATTTTTGTGCACTAATTTCTTTGTAATTTAGCTTAAAAGATATGAGTGACACTGCCTTCCAAGTGTTTGGGCTTAAACTGGAGTTTATATTTTTCAGCACAAATGTTGTTAAAATTACTTCTAAGAAGTAGGTTGGGTCTATAATAAGAAAGCCTGAACTTAGATCAGTGGGGTGGGGGCTTTTAAATATCCTATATCAGTTGAAAGATTAGGTTTCTGTTGTGAAGTACATGTTGCCCTATGTTAACTGACCCTTGCTGCAAGCAGTGAAGTAGGGAGAATGTTCCCTGGAAAGCCCCCCACTTCAGAAGACATGAAAGTTTTGCAAAAGGGAGATGAGGATTTTTCCTCATCTATTTCTTTAGTTTGTTTGTTTTATGTCCAAGAAAATGCAATAAAATGACATGAGAACTGCTTTGACCAAGAGTATATCTGTACATCAGTAACTTAGTTTTTCTTTATTCAGTGCCTTCTCCACGACCAGACAATTCTTTCCATGAAAATAATGTGTCAACCAGAGTTTCTTCCCTACCATCTGAAAGCAGTTCTGGAACCAATCACTCAAAAAGACAACCAGCATTTGATCCATGGTAAGTGTTTTGATTTAGTTTTATCTTCTTTTTTCGAATTATAGATTCAAGAATGCAAAGAAATTCTGGATAAACGTTAGCATTATTTCTCCTGCTTGGTCTTTCTCTCTCGAAAGGTTTTTAGACAAGGAAGACATAATTTGTCTTTTTTTTTTTTAAGTTAAACATCTATATTAAATATCATTTAAAAGAAAAAACTGATAATTTTCCATTGTATTTTTTGTGATATGAATGATAATATTTGTCGCTTCCCTTTATTGACATTGTACCCCATACTTTGCTTTGCACTTGTACATTGTCTCAGTCCATTCTCACAACTGCCCTTTGGAGTAGAGATTACCCCCATTTTATAGAAACTGAGGCTTGGAAGTCAAGGAACTTTCCTGATGCTGGATAGTCAGTCACATGGATGAGGGAGCCCAAATTTAGACCTAAATGGGTTCTGACTCCAAAGCTTGTAGTTTTCATCTTCGTACCACCTGCCTTTCATTCATGGTAAAAAGTCAGAAGTAAGAACAGCTCTTCATATGCTACCCTAAAAAGGTTCAAATGTTGTGGTAAATTTTCTTATCCTTTTTCTTTTTGTATCATATGTAGTAGAGTCCTAACAGACTAAAAGTTACACTGGAAGTAAGATATCGTGATTGATGTCAACTTATTTATTTATTTGTAGTTGTGGATGGATATAATACCTTTATTTTATTGATTTATCTTTATATGGCACTGAGAATCAAACCCAGGGCCTCACATGTGGTAGGCAAGCACTCTACCACTGAGCCACGACTCCAGCTCTGATGTCAACTTTTAACCTTGTAACTTTATATGCCCCTCAGTTTCCTTATCTGTAAAATAGGGCTAAGCAGAGGCACTTCCCAGGCCAAGGATATAGTTCAGTGGAAAAGCATAGTGCTCAGCATGCACAAGGCCCTGGGTTCGATTTCCCAGCACTGCAGGGTTAAAAAAAAAAAATAGCAATTCCCTCATAGAGTTCATGTGATAATTAAATGAGGTAACTCATAAAAATTACCCAGAACAGTGTCTGTCACCTTATGGGCTCATTAATGTTAGTGGCTGCAGTTATTATGCTTAGTATCATATAGCTTCACTCTGACTTGTTAAGTGTTTCCCCTCCACCGAACTTTGCCAATAAACTTTCATGCATTCTGCCTCTTTGTGGCTGTTTTGTGCTCCCTGGGGTGTAGTGATTTACTGTGCATTAACCCTAGAGCACAGGTACCAGTGTTGACTATTCTCAGATGTAGCTTTGATGAGCCCTGAAAATATTGTCTAAAGTATGAGAATACATTAACATGGTTGGAAGGAATAGAGTTTTTTTGGTCAATGAAGTGGTGATAATTTAGAAGAAAATCAGTTGTTGGGCATGGTCACCACCATGTAATCCTAGAACCTGTAATCACCTGTAATCCTAGCAACTCTGGAGACTAAAGCAGCAGTATCATAGTTCAAAGCCAGCCTTAGCAACTTAGGAAGGCCCCAAGCAACTTAGCAAGACTCTGTCTCAAAAAAAATGGTGGGGGGGGCTGGGGTTATGGCTCAGCGGTAGAGCGCTCACCTTGCATGTGCAAGGCCCTGGGTTTGATCCTCAGCACCACATAAAAATAAATAAAAGTTATTGTGTACAACTACAAAAAAATAAATATTTTAAAAAAACTGGGTCTGGGATTGTGGCTCAGTGGAAGAGTGCTTGCCTCACATGTGTGAGGCACTGGGTTCAATTCTCAGCACTACATATAAATAAATGAATAAAATAAAGGTTCATCAATACTAAAAAATATACTTAAAAAGCAATAAATGGGGGCTGGGCATATATAGCTCAGTTAGTAGAGTGCTTGTCTCTCATGCGCAAAGCCTTGGGTTCAATCCCCAGCACCACAAAAAAAAAAAAAAAAAAAAAGGCTGAGGCTGTAGCTCAGTGGTAAAGCACCCCTGGGTTCAATCCAGGTACCAAAAGAAAAAAGAGAGAATCAATTACAGTCATGTGAAAGCTAGGTCAGAATCAAAATTAAATCTAGGGGCTGGAGTTGTAGCTTAGTGGTAGAGTGCTTGCCTACTAGCACATGTGAGGCACTGCTTTCAATCTTCAGCACCACATAAAAATAAAAAATAAAGGTATTGTGTCCATCTATGACTAAAAAAATTATTTAAAAACTTTTAAATCCAAAAGTGTGATAGTCAGTAATATTATTATGTCTTTTTCTGGTTTTTGTTTTTTAGAAGGTGGTTTGGGTTTGGTTTGGTGCTGGAATGAACCCAGGGCGTGGCATATGCTAGGCACATGCTCTACCACTAATCTGCTCCCCCAGCTCCTCATTTCTGTCCTTTTGATAATCCACTTGAGTAGTAGAACTTTAGATATGGATATATGGATAAACCTGAAATCAATTATTTTAGGAGAATCAGAGGCACAATTGGGACATTGAACTTTAGCCAAGTCTTCATTGAGTATTCCTTGCTCTGATGTTGCTGATTTGAGGCTTGAGAGGGTTCTAGCATTGCAGTAGTAAATTGGCTCTCTTCTTTTGCCCCTGCCAACCCCTCCTGATAATGCTGCTATGACACATCTCTTTCATATAACATATCTTATTTGATCCAGTAATCTAAGGGCAGCCTGTTTCTCCTGTATAACAGTACTTAACTTCTTTGGGGAAGAGAATATTTGTACAGTGTACACTTTGTCTGCAATGAAAAAAATGAAGCTACTATGTCATATTTTTAAAACAACAAATAGATCTTGTGGTATAATACCCAGAGTTGTTGTTATTCCAGCCACCTTAGCTGCCTTGAACCCACTTAAGAACTGAGAGATGAGCCAGGATATCTCAGAACAAGAAAAAGAGAGTCTGTGCAGCCAGATTCATCATCTTTACTAATAGGATGACACCTCTACCCTTGCTTGGAGCCTGTTTGTCTAATATGCCTAATTCTAGCAGTTGGTGCTGAGGTTGTCAGGGCAAGAAACAGTCCCAGGTGACAATGCAATGTGCAGCATCACAAACAGTAGGTGTAGAGAAAAGCAGGTGTTTCTGTCTTAGGCCCCCAGTGAGAAAATTATGCACATCATAGATATCCACTTAGAGTGTATGTTATAAAATAGATAATATTTACTCTGTTTAAAAAGACAAATTGGGGCTGGGGCTGTAGGTCAGTGGCAGAGCACTTGCCTAGCATGGGTGAGGCACTGGGTTCAATCCTCACTCAGCACCACATCCAACAATAAATAAAATGAAGGCATGCTGTCCAACTACAACTATAAAAAATTTTTTTAAAAAAGACAAATTGTATAAATGTTTAGAAAGACTGCCATCAAAATTGGGTTAAATGACACTTGAAATAGTAAATTAATTTGAAATCCCACTATTTAAGTGAAGAATTGCTGTAACTTACTTACATAATCCCAGACTCTTTTTTCATATAAAGTTATAGACATATTGTATCCATTATAGCTTGTCACCTAACTTTAAGAATTACTCCTATGGAATCGTTCACTATAGCTCTCTCTCACACATTAGCTGACCACCCTAGTCACGCTGCCAGGGGAGGGGAGGAGGCAGGGAAAGAATCACAGAGTAATGCCTCTCACCTCTTCAACTCGCATTCCATGCTGCTTCCAGAAGGATTACTAAAGCCTCTATGGCTGACCCTGCTGCCTCATCTCCATCCCATCCTCTTTCCCTGTGAGTCTGGGAGCAGCTTTAATGAGGTCAGGCTCCTTTTTGATTTATCTCTGTCTCTGACACCTAACACAGGGCCTAGCACCTAAAAAGTACTTAGTAAATGTTGGCTGATTTTGATTAAGTAGGTTTTGGTTTTCATTCCTCCCTTTGGAATTTCCTCTTTCTCCTTGCTGTTGTGTTAGATGACATTGGAGTCACATGACTGTAAAGGAAGTCACCTGTTTACCATTTGCCCCCCCTTCCCCCCACATATGCACTGTTCTTTTGGGAGCTGCTGCCCCCAATAATGTGCCAGGTGCCTGGAGGGGTGATCTTTCTCAAAGCGTACATCCCTGAGATTAATGCTGCTCTTCTTTGCCCTATTTAACATGAAACTGCTGTCTGTACTGGGTAGAATCACAGGGACCACAGAGCACAGATGAGGAAAATGGTCAGCCACACTCTTGCGTGTTTGACTCACTCCCATGTTCGAGGCTTCTCTCTGGCTTTTCTCTTTTCTGTTGCTCTGTGAATTATCTAGGTATGTATGTTTGCTGTAGTTTCCCCCTGGATTTGTTTTTTCTCACTGTCTTCAGTCTGTCTTTTGTGACGCAAACATACGCATGTTTCAATCCTAGCTTTCATCTGGTTCAGGGGTAATTTATTACCGTTTTTCTTTTGGCCTCTGTGATTTTTCACAGCCTAGATCTGAGCCCCACCACCCACTCAGCTTCAGCTCAAAACTGTTTTCCTCATCATTCCTCCTATCCCTTCTGGACTGTTTACCCAGCACCCTTTGAAGAGACCTTACAGAGAGGGTCTTTGATCCATCTTCCCTCAACTCAACTCTGCAACACCTAACTTCAGACTCTGAGCTGTTTCCTCCCCACTCCTTCTCCTCTTTCATTACCCTCCCAGCTTCAACTCTCCCTTTCATCTTATTCTCCTTTTCATCCTGGACAGACTCTCCTCTTTCCAGGAAAAATCCTTCTCTTCCTAGAACTGGTGTCTCATCCTTCCTTTCCTCTCCTGCCAGAGTTAATATTCTTAGAGTAATGCCTTCCCCTTCTGAAATTGCATTCATGTTGAGATTGTTTTCCTTTATAGTACTACACTGCATCTAAAGAATCTTTAACTTTATACCACCCCATTTCCCCATTCCTGCTCATTTCATCATGTCTGAACTTTGGGTTTTTTTGGGGGGGTACCTAGGGATAGATTCCAGGGGCACTCTACCACTGAGCCACATCCCCAGCCTTGTTTATTTTGAGACAGGATCATGCTGAGCTGCTGAGGCTGGCCTCAAACTTGCAATCCTCCTGCCTTAGCCTCCCAAGTTGCTAGGATTACAGGCAGGCGCCACTGCACCTGGCTATGCCTGAAGTTTTCTGGCTGTAGTTTTGGGTTGAAATGTCATGATTTGTTGAAAAACAAAACTTTTATTTCACAACTTGGAACTCTCAGTGATGTTTAAAATTGCAAGTCCCAGTAAGTTTCTGGAACACTTGGACCTACCATACCAGTTTTTACTTCTTGGCCATTCCCATTAAGTTTTAAACTAAATGCTTAAGAAGAAATGGTCACTGTGCCACTAAGCAGTCACTTTTACTCTCAATTTTAGAGAATAGCTTATAAAAGAAATCCAATCATTTGAGAAAAAGGCTCTGCACAGTCATATAGTTATTGAAATTAAAAGTAGGGTCCATGAAATGTGAGTTCTTTAAGAATAACACTAGTCAAGTTGCTTTTTAAAGAGTGTAAGTTAAATTAATATAAGTCCTCTTTCAACATACAAGTATAGGCATCTTTTTGAGGCCACGCACGGCATTATTTCCTATCTTTTAAGTATCTTTTATTTTTATTAAAATATCTGGTGTTATCCATGGCATTAAGCTTAATGTCAGTGTTTTCAGCTTTTTCTTTCCATGAGCAGTTTGTATTAAAGCATTCATCCTATCTATGTTTTTAAGTATTTTTTTTATTTAGTTTTAATAAATGGATAAAAGGTTTAATAGAGAGGAATTTTCCAGTGTCAGGCCGTTTTTTTTTATTTGTAATGTTTCTGTAGCAGCATTGATTTTTTTAATGTTCAATATCTTGGCAAGCTTCTAATAATAAACTCGTTGAACTGTTTTTAAAAAGGTAAATAGAAAAATGAAGGTATTAAAAATGTTTCTGCTCTTTTCTTGGAGGGTTACAGAAAAGGCATCCTCTAAGCTGTGTACTTTTCAGAATCTCTAATTCTAAGGCTTTCAGCAGCATGAAAATGGTCCAGCAGCATAGTTACAGATCATTTGTAATAGTGCCCAAATTGCTAGTGTGAGTGAGCCTGTGCTGAAAAATACCCATTAACTATGGTTGATTAGATTCAGTTCCTCCTGTGCTTTTTTCGAGGACCTTTACCTGTGTGCTTGATTCTTCATGGCTGTTTGCACCTGGTGTCGTGCATTTTTAGTCTTCATTATGCTGGTCACACAGTGGCAAGAGATTGATTGAAAGATCAATATGATAAAAATGTCTTCTCATTTAGGAAAAGTCCCGAAAATATTAGTCATTCTGATCAACTCAAGGAAAAGGAGAAGCAAGGCTTTTTCAGGTCAATGAAAAAGAAAAAGAAGAAATCTCAAACAGTAAGTAGATAGCCAATTTCTATGTATAATGGCATGGGTTTCTGCATTATTCTGTGGATATATTACACTCTGTACATGGCAATCAAAGTTAATTTTTTGCTGAGACTTGACATGCATACACTGTAGATGTCTCTTTTTGATATTCTATACAACTGTCCTCTCACAAAGTCTTTTCTAGATTCAGCAGATCTTCAAGAATAGAAGAAATTTAATTTGGATGAAAGAGAACACTTTAAGCCTCTCTCAATAAACTTCTTATCCGTGTAGATTTATATTCCTGTAAAAACTATGGAGATGAAAAATTTGTTTCTCTCTCTGGGGGCATAAAGATATTAGAAAACAGTTTTGATTTACATTTAAATCTTGAAATTCATAAATAACCATCATTCCTTATCCTCCTGGCTGATTGTAGAATTCCCATGTTGACAAGTATGTTTCTGTGCTGTATAGTCACAGAGAGATGATCACATCAGATGTTTCAGAGCTTGCTTTAGTAGGTAAACATGTTTCCCCTGTAGTATCACTGTGAGTTGGGCTGCGCTTTAGCTCCTGGGAGCTCTGAACAAAAGGCTGGTACTAAGTACATCACTTCACTGAGCCACCCAAGTGAGAATTCTATTGGCTAGAGACTTGAGAAAATGTGGGGGAGCCAGGCCTCCAGGACAGCAACGGGTGGTTCTTTGCCCATCTGAGGCCTGCTTCCCCCTTAGCTTCATGAAACCTTCAAAATTAGATGAGGTTGAGTTAGCCATTGTAAGTGATTTTGATTCCAGCTGTACTTCATGCATGATATGTTCTCATTTATTTGAAGAAGAAAATTGCCTAATCCAAATGGCCTGTTTGGACAGACTTCATTGATTTCATCTGTAAGATTAATAGATTAGACTCAGTGTTTTTGAGGCCCTTTTCATTATGAAAATTCTAGAATTGTGACTCAATGGTAAGTAAAGATGAGATAGGTGATAGTAGCGAGTATATAACCTAGAATCAGGATTTTTGTTTCATAAATGTTCTAGAAATGTTAACAAAGACCTTTCTTAGATTAGCTTTCTAGACCATTCTTTCACTTGCTTCCTTATAAAATTTATGTATTTCATGATAAAATAAATATGACCTCATTATAGAAAAATGTGTAAAATGTTTGTGGAAGAAAAGGGGGTGGGGGGTGTTTTAAGGGTGGTTTTGGGGGGGGGGCTACTAGAGATTGAACTCAGGGGCTGGCACTTGACCACTGAGGCATATCCCCAGCCTTATTTTGTATTTTATTTAGAGACAGGATCTTGCTGAGTTGCTTAGCACCTCACATTTGAGGTTAGCTTTGAACTTGCAATCCTCCTGCCTCATCCTCCCGAGCTGCTGGGATTATAGGCATGCGCCACCATGCCCAGATTAAGTTTGTTTTAAATAATAGTAATGATTATAGTATAATTTTATATTCTGCCTTTTTACAATATATTAATCTGTGTCTGTATACACACAATATTGTATGCTACTTCATAAAACTTTATTATCTTCAATTTAATGCCTGCATAATATTCCTGAAATGTTCATTTGAGTTTAAAAAAATAAATTAAACCTACCCTTATCTCTAACCGAAGCTCACCTAAAATAAAAAGTTAAGTCAAAATGCCATAGTTGGGCACAGTAATCACAGTGACTTCAGGAGGCTAAGATAAAGGGATCGTAAGTTCCAGGCCGGCCTTGACAACTTAGTGAGACCTTGTCTCAATATAAGAATATAAAAAGGGCTGGGGAGGGCTGGGGATATAGTTCATTTGGTAGAGTGCTTGCCTTGCATGCACAAGGCCCTGGTTTCAAACCTCATCACCACAAAGAAAAATAAAAAGGACTGGGGATGTAACTCAGTAGTATAGTGCCCCTCGTTATATTCCCCAGTACTATTTAAAAAAAAAAAAATGCCACTCAATCAGATATTACTTACATTTGTTGCTGAGAGTAGATGAACAAATAGACCTATGTTAGCCTAGGGATGCTTAAAATATTTAAAGTGCTGAAAAAAATAAATACAACATTTACCATTGTCTACAGAACATATTCATCATGATCATTGAAACTTAGTTACCTCATCCTGACCACTGTGAGTTTTATTTTAAGGTTTTTGTTCTTAACCACAGATCTGCAGCCATTTTAAGTGATTAAATGACAGAAAATAGTAAGAATCAAGGAATTGAAACTGTTTTTGTATTTAGAGTTAGGTTTTAATGTCCATCTGCCTTAGACTGACATTAAACCTAAAGCCCCTGATTCAGTGAGGCCAAGTAGAGTATATACATATTGACTGACTTTATTATTCAGGATACAGTTACTTAGATATTTAATAGTGTAGATCAGGGTAAATAGGAAAATTAATATTTTCTAACATCTCTTTGACTTAAACTTACTTTTTATTAGATATTTAAATTAACTGCAAAATATCTTTCCTCATGCCATCATGCCTTACACCTTCCAAAGCAAAAGTTTTTTAAATACCACCGTATTTTTTTAACTAAAGAAAAACTATTTAAGGCCTTTTTTGAATGAGCAAACGTAATTAAAGTTCATTTGTTTTCACTTTCTAGAATTGAACAAAAGGAAACTAAAACAAACTTTGAAAGATTTAGGCATTATAACTTTTGCATAGGCTTCAAAGAAATTCTGATGTCCATTGCACATAGAAAGGTGTGACATTTTAAAAGTTGGTGGATCTTAAATCTAGTTGAACCCTTTTGTTTCATTAGCACAGGAACTGAGCCCAGGCAGGTTGTGACCTGCCCAACACATAGTCAGTTGGGACAACGAAAACCAGGTACTCGTGAATCCCAGTGCCAGGCTTAGTCTGCTGGGCCCATTGCTGTGAAAGGCCTGGGGGGAGGAGGGAGCTCTCTTCTGACCTCTTTAGCAATGGGTCTTAAATTGTGCCCTGGGTTCTTGTCATTAGATTAGGAAATTAGAGTATGGGATATTTTTCCCGAATGTCCTCATACACAAACCCATAAAAGATGGTCTGTGAATACCTTTATTACTTTCTAGTTCTCCGACAATTGAGATATCCAAAAGAGAGAAAAGGGGTGCCAAAAATTAATTCTGTATTGTAAAGGTGCATGCTTTGACTCAAGCAAATCTGGAAGCTGCCTTGGGAAATCTGGCTTCAGTTACATATCCAGAGAGTTACATAAGCCCTCAGAGCATATGGTGACTTTGCCAACTTGGTAATTGTATTCTACTTGGTATCTCAACTTGCAATGATGCTTCAATTTAAAGATTGAACTTTCTGTTTCTTCACTTGAAAAGCCAATTTTCTAAATTGTGCCAAATATTTTCCACTGGGTAAATATTTCTAACAGTGTACAAGAAGGCTGCTTGCTCAATGTTAGCATACCAGAACAGTGGTAGTCCTCTTCCAAGTGATGTATTCTGGCTCAAGAGTTGACCAAATTTATAAAGGATTTACAGTATCTCTTTTCCCATTAATAGGCAAATTATATTGTTATTTTTTAGTTGCTAAATTTCTCTCTAGCAATTAGGAAAAGATTGAAATTCATCAGCAGCTCATTAAACAATTCTTTATAATAATTTTATTTCGATAATAAATAAATTCTTAAATGTTTCATAAGCTTAATCTGAACAGATGTGTATAGGTTTCCAGGCATTCCTACCATAGGTGTTGATCATGACCACATATTATAGGCTTAGAAGAAGTTCATGCTTGCCTTGAACTTAGCTTATTGACCTCTTCGTATCCATGTGAAAAATGAAACAGAACCATTCTAGATGCTCAGCACAGAGATTCTTTCAGTGACCGTTAATATTTAACAAATTGAAGGCTGCCAAGGGTTATTAGTTTCAATAAAAACACCTTTTTTTTTTTTTTTTGCAATTAGTTTATTTGTATCTTATATTGCAGACAGATTCCACCAACGGGGAGAATCCAAGCATCAAGAAATCCCTCTTTCCTCTTTTTAATTCAAAGAATCATTTAAAGCATAGTTCTTCTTTGAAAAAGCTTCCTGTAGTCACTCCACCCATGGTACCCATTTTTATGTATGGTAGCCCTGAAAACTGCTCCAGTAAACTTGTTTTACTGATGACAAAAGCATGTCTTATTTTCGTGGGGTCATATTCTCTTTGTGCTAGTTAAGTACCTGAGCCAGTTCCATAAATTCACAGGGATATAAAATCTTTGTCATTCTGGATTTTTTGGAATCAGTTAAGGATGTTGACACATAACATCTATTAAACAAACTAGTGAAAGGCTAGTTTGGGTTGTCTGATTAGCCAGTTATTGGCAGACAACATTTATGAAGTCCCTTATTTCCTGTAAAGAATTTGATTAACATTTACACTTAACAAATGTCTTTGCATTTGGCTCACAAAGTTTGTTAACATTTGGTTGGCAGTTTGTTTCTTTGAAACTAAGTTTGAGTTGACCAAATTAAGTGAGCTAGCAGGCTCTATGAAAAAAATAGCTTCTACTAGTTGGTGACTTGTTATTTCCTTGCCTGGCTCTAGCTTTTGCTGGTCACTTAAATTTAAAGCCACAATTTTGCTTGGCATGTGGCATAACTCTCCTTTGTTCACCAAAACTGGTGAATAGACTAATTGCATTCACTTGGAATTTGTGGTACAAATTTCCAGCATTTTTCCAGTGTATAATACTAGATACAAATTTACTGGGTAACGTTGGAACTATGATTCAAACTGTACTTTCCCACTTCACTATCCTTGAAGACCTACTAGACTTCTTTGGCACCACCAACTATAGTGTTTGGATCATTTTCCCAGCAGGGAAATTTTTTTTGTTGTTTTATTGAACTGGTTCATAACCTAACTGCAATATGGAATGAGGATACGACATCAATTCCTGGTACAGCCCAATTTAACTGCTCTCTCTTACAGCGACTAAAACTAACAGCATGGGAATGCTTTAAGGGTTGAGATTTCAACAAAGCTGCATGACATCTGCCAATTTTTCCTAATGCAGGGAAAATTATTAAGAGGGCAGCAGAATTTAACTAGCATCACTTGCATTATGAATATTGGGAGAGTTTTGGTTTCTTCCCTCCCCCTCTCCTTTGAGTTTTGGTTTGGTTCAGTTTGCTTTCTGGTTTGGTTCTCCTCTTGGGTGTGGCTGTATATCTTAAATAGATTTATTGGTGTGCTTGTTGAAACCTTGTCCACCTTTCACTCTAGGTGCCCAATTCTGACGGCCCCGACCTTCTGACATTACAGAAAGCCATTCACTCTGCTAGCACTTCAAGCAGCAGACCAAAGGAGTGGCGTCCTGAGAAGTTCTCAGATCTACAGATCCAAGTGAGTGGAACCTACAGTACTCCTAGACTCTCTGACTCTGCAGCAAGTCCTAGGGAGGAAGGCAGAGGAGAGAAAAGTTAGTTTTTCGGTGTTACGGCAACACTGAGGGCCTCCTTCAAATAGACCCTCACTAATAGCCAGGTATATCTTGGGAGTCTGGATGAATCATGCTTCAATGACTCACGTCCTCGTGGGGGAAAACTGAGTCTCTAAGCCTTTACCTAGCTGGGGAGGGGACAGAGAGGTTAAGGGAATGAAAAAGATACAGTCCTATCCTCCAAATACTCTACAGCCCAGGAGAGAGATTCATAAAGATTGTGGTGAAAAGTGAGGTCAGCTATAAAATGTTGAGAGAATGGATAGAGATGGTGGGAAGATTAAGATTTTCTTAAAAGTAGTAGAATACAAATTGGGTCTTTTTTTTAATATTTTTTTTTTAGTTGTCAATGAACCTTTATTTTATTAGTATGCAGTGCTGAGAATTGAACCCAGTGCCTCATACATGCTAGGCAAGAGCTGTACTGCTGAACTATGACCCCAGCCCCCAAAATTGGTTCAGATGCACATACAGATAGGATTATCTTTCATAAAAGAACATTTCATTTCCTGAAACCTATGCTATCTCAGATGAAAAAAAACAAGCAAACAATTGCATTAGGAACTACAAATTGGACAGTATTGTATAGGCACATTTATCTACTGTAGTGGGGCAATAAGCAGAAATTGAGTCACTAAATTTTTTAAGTAGTGGAGGTTTATTTCCTTTAAACGGCTTGTCAATTAGAGAAGTTTCAATATTGTAACTTTTCAGTATCCCACAATAAGCATAGTTACATAATTTGTCGATTTCTTTAATCAAATCACAGGTTTCTGTGATTTGGAGGTGGGGCCTTTACTCATTACAGGTTTTCTATTTGTTCTCTTTAACTGTAAGCTGTTACTTAGAGCTGGGAACAGGAGTTCCCCAAATGGCTATCCTCTTTATCCAACCATTTATATTTTCTGCTTCTGATGTCATATGGGCTGGGGGCAGTGGGGGAATAGAGAACCAGATATCCAAGTATATTGGAACACAGGCTCCAAGTGAGGGCCCAATGCTTAGAAACTCCATGGTGAAACTGTTTCCTTTGCCAAGAAGCTTTTTTCAAGTAACTTTTCATCTCCAGCTGATTCTGGATTATTGTAATTGCTCAATAGTTACATGTGATTAGGGCTATAAAAAATCCCCAGGAGTCTCATTGTGTTACCATAACAATTTAATAAAAAATGAAAAAACAAAAACACCTTTGAGCACTTACAGTGCGCAGGGTACTATGCCGCCTCCTGTGGGGACCCATGGCTTTCTTAGAAAGATCTTGGAATAGTGTTGGAGGATACTTCCCCTGGAGCAGTTAGTTCCTCCTTGAGTTGATTCTCAAGCCTTTTACCTTGGCTTGCTTTCTTTTAACATTTTTTAGTTGCAGATGTACATAATAGCTTTATTTTATTTATGTGTTTATTTATTTTTTATTCTGGTACTGGGATTTAACCCAGGGGTGCTACACCACTGAGCTCCATCCCCAGCCCTTTTTATTTTTTATTTTGAGACAAGGTCTCACTAAGTTGGTAAGGACCTCGCTAAGTTGTTGAGGCTGGCTTTGAACTTGAACTTTGATTCTCCTGCCTCAGACTCCTGAGCTGCTGGGATTACAGGCCTGCACCACCACGCCTGGCTATTTTATTTATTTTTTTTTATGCAGTTCTGAGAATCAAACCCAATGCCTCACACGTGCTAGGCAAGTGCTCTGCTACTGAGGTACAACCCTAGCCCGTAACTTGGCTTTCAACATCGTGTTCCTTCAAACCCTGTGGTGTTCCTGGAGATTTTCAACATCTTATTCAAACTTGGCTAGCCCTAAATGTATGTCGCTTGTACTGTGACACTCAGAGTAAAGGTAAAGATATTAGCAGGCAGAGCTGCCCCAAGGCTAGGATTGTAGTCTGAATGATAAGAGTCCAGCAATAGTGATTGACTGTACATGTCTAGGGGCTTTCCATGCCTCTTCTGATAGTGGCCTTCACATGCCCCATGATAGAGGTGGAGAATAGGGAAGTCAGCTGCCTTTGACCATTGAGGAACCTGAGGCAGAACATGTCCAGGACCCTGCCTTCTGCCTTGATGCCACTCTTCCTCCACAGTGCAGCCCCTTATGGGCCTTCAGCCATGGACAATCAGGCAGAGCTGCTGTGAGTCCATGTTAGGAGTTGACAGCCTTCTGTGAATGAAAAATTAGGTTCTGTAGGGGTTTTGCTTTTGTGCTTTGCATTGTTTATGCCCAGATCTTATACCACCACCCCACACCATACATTCACATAAAAGTAACTATTGCAGGGCACATTTAGATTTTACAATATCAAAGAAAAGGGGAAATCAGATAGATGAGAACAAAAAGGGCTATACAATTTTTTAGCTCAGTGCATTGCTGCCAAACTAAAGCATTGCATTCTTCCAGCTTCTCTTGCAGCTAGATAAGGTTGTGTGCCTGAGTTCTAGCCAGTGAAATATTAAGTGGAAGCATTATGTGGAACTTTTGGGAAGTCTTCTCAAAAAGGAGAAAAACATCCCTTCTTATATTTCTTCTTCCTATGGTTGAAGCATGAAACTCCATAGTAAGACAGGATGCAGCCAGATTGAAGGAGCCTGGGCCTCTGAGCAGCACCCACCAGCTCTAGTTGTCTTCTAGATTTTCACATGAAAGGACAGTGACTATAGTCTTCTTTGAAGAAACTCAGAAGGCAGCTAGAGCTGGGCTAGCCCTTCCAGCTTGCCCTCCCTGGCTTCTTTTAGTCTTGTCCCTTCTGAGCTCCATTTTCTCCCAGTGCCCTGGTCTACTCAGAATTTAATACTATATACGTTCTCATCCTTTCTTTCAGAGCCAGCCATTAAAATCACTGCGCAAGCTGTTACATCTCTCTTCGGCCTCAAATCATCCGGCTTCCTCAGATCCCCGCTTCCAGCCCTTAGCAACTCAACAAACCAAAAATTCCTTCTCAGAAATTCGGATTCACCCCCTGAGCCAGGCCTCTGGTGGGAGCACCAACATCCGGCAGGAGCCCACACCAAAGGGCAGGCCAGCCCTCCAGCTGCCAGGTCAGATGGATCCTGGTTGGCACGTGTCCTCTGTGACCAGGAGTGCCACAGAGGGGCCTTCCTATTCTGAACAGCTGGGCGCCAAGAGTGGGCCAAACGGGCACCCATATAACAGAACAAATCGCTCACGAATGCCAAATCTGAACGATTTAAAAGAGACGGCCTTGTAATTTGTGCTGGGGTGGGGGGAGGGGGGACGAGCCAGTTGGGAAGGGAGGGCGCGGGGTGGGCTGGGGAATGGGCTGGGCCAGGGTGGTAAGCCAGTATTTTCAGCTTTATGAAGGTGTGTGCAATATTGTATGTGGAGGGCCATCTGGCTCCTCACAGCCACAAATGCTAGTCAGGGATCTTAGAGCCACGGGAGTTCCTTAGGGATCGCCACTCCCCACAGGTCTTGTGTGAGAATGGATAGAGTGTGCCATTGAGGAAGAAGAAATTCTTGTCAGTTTCTCCCCCTTACATTCCAGCTTTAGTGCAATCTCTGTTGAACTTGGGAAAGCCAGGACATGTCCTGGCACTGCAAGGGATAGAAAAATTCGTGTTGACCGATGCCCTTACCACGTATTTTTTTCTGCCTAGACTAAATGTGGGGTTTGTTGTAATCCAAGAGTATCCCTTTGAAGGGTTAGAAGATGAACTGTATGTCTTAAATTGTTTTCTAAGCTTCCATATTTGATAGGATTTGTAACATTTATTTATAATTAATATTGTACTGTTATAATTATCATACTTTTATGTTCTAATGTAAAGTTATTTTGAGCTGTTTGGAACATTGTGAAGCAGTGGGACAGCTACAGTAGTTTCTATAAAAACTAAACAGTAACATTTATATATTGCATCAGGAGTATTTTATTCTATATATATAAATATATATGGTAAATATCTGTCTGTTTTATAAATATATTCATTTAAAGAAAGTATCGTTATGACACTATCTGCCATATTTTTATACATTTGTGATATGAAGTGAGTATTATACTTCTAATAAAGGGAGTTGAATTGTGGCTACATGTGACTGTAACAGTATGAACCTTGCTCAACTTTTCGGCCCCAGCAGTAGCCTCTAGATGTGATCCTTGGTAGCAGATAATGCAGCATCTCTTTCCAGACCCACAAGGGAAGAAGGTCAGCTAGGCCAGTGAAGATTCCAGCAGGCCTCATTTCCGCCCTCACACACTTGGCTCCCGTTTGTGTCCAGGAATGTTACTTGGACGTAAGTGGGGGAACAGACAGAGGTATTGCTCATGGGTCTTTGTAGAGAGAATGTGCTCTTCCACTAAGCATTAGTGTAGAGCGTAGACCAAAGATTCGCCAGCAAACATTCCTTGTTGTGAGGTTGTAAGAGGCACCTGTCTGCAGATCTTGCAAACCAGCTCTATGCTCCTGAATACCGTCCGCCCTCCTGGAGACTCTTGGCTCTAGCTGCGGTGTGAGATGCGTGTGTGGCATTTCTCCTTCTAACCGCTTTTTTCATTATTGCTTTTCCCGATGTATTTAAAAGGCTCCTGAAGCAATTCCAGATATAGAGAAAATCTCTCTATAAATGGATGCTATATCCATTTTTTCTTCCTGGGACTGTCCATTTATAACAAGGTCATCATGCACACCTGTATATACACCCTTCCCTCCATCAGAACAGGACCTATCTTGCTCTCATTTGATCACTTCAATTCCCAAGTTACTCGCAAGTACCATTAAGGCCTTTGGCCAGCAAGTGTTATCCCCCTTATCTCCAGGCCATCCTTGACAGAAATCACCTCAACACCATCATCTATCAGTAGTAGTAGACTTTTGGAAGTAGTCTCTTAGCAATAAGACTTTTAGAGGTCCCTCCCACCCCTCAAAGAGGTAACTTCTCAGTATTTATTACTCGCTCCAGGATTATGAGAGTGTCAGCCCTTGAATCAAGTTAGCTCTCTTTGAAATATGCTGAATTCCCGTTAACCCTCCCCCAAGATTTTTAGAATCCTAGCTCTGATGATTATGAAGATTATAAAGAGAAAGGTCTTAGAATCTCTGAAGCTTAAAATGTGTGCATATTGCATTTTTATATAAATATTATAATGGTGTGTATTGATTATATATAGAGAGAGGTCATTTTAAGGTGCTTTTTATTTAATTGTAGTAAGTGTAATAGGCACTAAAATGAAACTCAACTGGGTACTATCATTGAAACAATTTGATTCAAATAAATAGTTTTTGCATGTTCTCAAGTTCCTTTTCTATCTCCTTTCTGTCACCAGTTCAATACTGGTTGGGTAGCTCTGAATTCTGGCTTTCCCCAGGCAGCTGCTTGGTTATACATGTGAGGTAGACCCTCAGCAGTTTTTGCCTGGATACAATGACTCTACAAAGGTGTATATTTAACACTTCTTTTCGTACTAGATCTGTACCTTGCATCCCCCCTTGCAAACCAGAAACTACGTTTTTTCTTCTGGAAAGACTTCTCACTGTGCTGTGCGCTTAGGAACTGCGCAGTCCCGTTGCCATACTATGGCATTCGAGGCGCGTCGTCACTTAGGGGCTGGTTTCCCATGTTGTCATCCTTGCTAACACTGGGATCTCAGATGTTTGCAGAACATTTATATTCTCGATGGTTCTTCAAAGAAGGGCTAGAATAATTGCCTTCTACCTAGAACAAACTAAACCTATCTGATGAAGAGTCAATATGTACTTTTTCGTACATTCCCAGATTTGAGCCAGAAAATACCTACAATGTTTTCAACTAGTGTTTTTGAGGTAGCTCTTTTATCCTCTTCTCAGCTTTTGTCCTTTCCCACTTTCATCGATCCTTAATAAGCTGTAAGTGAACCTACATTCTGCATTTCTAGCATGTCATTCTTTTCCTGTTTGGGGGGTGGGTGGGAGTAAAGTCTTCTTTTGGATCTAATGGGTCCTCTCTCAGCTTCTAACTGTTGCTTTTGCCTCTGGTTGATGAGGAATTACTAACTTCACAAAGATTGCCATCCATAGTGGGAAGGACTTGACTTAAGTCACAAAAATTTGCATTTTCTTTAGGAAGGGGAATTTATGACATCCATGTTCTGTTATCTGCCCTAACTTCCTAAAGAATACATAGGTTGAATGAAGGTTTGTGAATTACTTTGTGTTTTGGAAGTATCACTAATCTCCTTTTGGGAAAAAAAAAACAAACAAACTTAGCTTCTCTTTTTCTACTTTGACTTCTCTGCCATTCTTTTTTTTCTTCTCTAAAGTTCTAAGTGAACTTGAACTGAGCCTTGTTCAGTCTTGACTGAAGTTTAGCCTCTCTCCATAACCCAAGACTAAAAGGGAGTTCTCCGCACCAAGTGGCTCAAGTGAGCTATCTCCAGAGCAAGTGCTTCTCAACCAGGGGCAATTTTGCCCCCACAGGGCACACTTGGCGATGTCTGGAGACATTTGGGTATCACTCCTCCGTGGGGGTTACTACTGGCATCTAGTGAGTAGAGGCCAGAAATACTTCTAACCATCCTGCAGTGCACAGGACAGTCCCCCAAATAAAGAACAATCCAGCCTCAGCTGTCACTGGTGGTGAGGTTGAGAAACCATGCCCAACACCATTCCAGCCCTGTCTGTAGAGCTTGGCTCTGGCCTTGTTCTTTCCAGGCTACAGAACTGCAGGAATGAATCTTCTACCACAATTCTTGAGTCCTTGGAATCCTGTTGTTTGTTTCCATTGTCTTGGGCCTGCTAAAAGGTGCACACTTTGGGAGGAAGCCAGAGTTACTTTATATGTGTTTGAGAACTTAAATTCTAGGTTAGCATCCTTAGAAAATCTTTCATAGAGCCATGAGGCTTATATTTAGAAGCAAGCAACAGCCTGGCAGATTGGCATGATTTTTACCAACTGCTCAAAGGCACCCATGGCTTTTAGCTGTGTCTACCGAAAGAAAATGTCTTTGTTTTTTAATCAAGTTATTTAATAGCTCTTTACAAATATTAGCATATGACAGACCGATTAAAAGCAAAAAAAAAAAAAAAAAAAACTCTGTATTGGTGGTTGTGATGTGGCTATTATAGAAGTATTTGTGCTGTGTATGCTTTGGTTAAATCTGTTTTAAAACATGCTTTAAGACTCACCATATGCAGTTGTATACTTTAACTCTAAGCTCGGAGCTACGCTGGTCAGTCTCTAGTCACGTTGTGTATTATAAAGTATGTTGTGGTTGTAGAGTTAGCCAGTTTAGCATGTTCCTAATCTGAAAATTAGTGGACTACACTAGGAAATGCTGTCCCATTTTTCCCTTCCCAGCACCTCTTAGTTGATATCATAGTATCCTCACTTCTTAAACTAGTTTTTAGAGTAAATAAGGAAAAAAGCCATTTATTTTATTCTAGCCATGTATTGAGAATGACTCATTAAGTGTACAACTTTTTTTCAAAGGCCAGAGGATTACTTTTCATGTGTGTAGAAGGCTCTGTCCACTTCTGTATCCCTGGATCCCAGTGGTGACAGAACTCTTTTTGGCAAGGGCAATAAGAAGCTCATCCTGAGTCACCACTGGAGCCCAGCTGGGACTCAAAAAACCTGCATTGTCTCTCAAGCGCCAACCTGTTTGCTGGAGAGCATTGCTTTTCTATCTGGAAGTTCCTTGTCTCCTGCATTAAAGTGGGATACTGAACTCTATGCAGGTACAAAGATCCACAGGCTCATACTTGTGTGAACCAGGATCGTGGTTTTGTTGAACCAACAAGCCAGAAAACAGTGGGCTATTTCCTTGCCTCCTTCAGTTCCTCACTAATAAAGTATGTAGACAGAGAAAACTTATTTATGGTTTAAGAAATAACAATTCTGGTTTCTTTGAAAGAGACTGCAGAAAAACAGTATCAATGTTGAAAATGTCCTATCACTAATAACCAGGACCAGAATCTCACCAGAGGTCTTTGCAGAGATTTAAAAGGCCAGCTTAGGGTTGGGCTGTATCTTAGTGGTAGAGCACTTTTCTAGTATGTGTGAGGCCCTGGATTTGATCCTTAGCACTCAAAAAAATTTTTCAAATAAAAAATAAACAAGAGGTCAGCTTACCAGAAACAGGCAAACAAACAAACAAACCTTTAAATGGTTATGGTTTCTTCTTTTTGCCTCATGATCAGCTGAGATATAGAATATCTTGAGGTCTGGTTCAGCTGAGTAAAAAATTCTTGAAAACCACGAGTAAGAAGCCATGAAAGAAAATGACCATCTCTCATCTGTCTGCATCACAGAATGGGGGAGAAGTCAGGTGTCTAGGAAACTCTGGGCCTATTGCCCCGTGCGATTCTTTTTTCTTTCTTTCTTTTCTTCTTCTTTTTTCTTCTTAATTGAATGTACTATACAAGATGGTAGACTTTTGTGCGAGCCAGTTACTACAGGAGTCTTCATTTCCCACAGTGCTTCGGTAATTCATCAGCGTTAGGCCTGGTCCCACTCCACCTTTCTCTTCTCCAGGCACTGACCCACCTTTCTGCGTATTTACTGTAGGCTATTAAATATGGTCTTGACCTGCCTTGCATTTTCATTCTTCAACTGTTCACTCCCAAATTTAAGGGAGTGTTGTCTCTTGTATTGCCAGAAAAAATTTGTCACAGTCTGCACGCTAGATTTGTAGGGCCAGCAGAACTGCGGCAGTGAAACTGGTGTCACTTCCAAGGCCCTTCATGTCCCACAAGGGTAAGCTCTTTACACCCCCTTGATCCTTGGTCATATTTGATCCTCCTTGGGAATCTGAAATCGGTCTCCGTGTTGTATGCAGAATAGAAGTTGCCTTGTTCGCTGCTCTTCCCATGCAGAGTATCAGGGAGAAAGAGGCCTTATCTGTCCCTCCATCCCCCCCTCTGTTTTGACAGACTACTGAGAATCCCTCAGGACTTCCTTTGGTTGGGGATTTCACTTCCCAGAAGGCTGATGTGATTCATTTCAGACGTAGACAAGTTTGTCCTAATACTCTGCTTCAGGTCTAATCAGAGGAAACCCAGGAATAGAAAAGGTAGATGCCTTGACTTTTGTCCCTGTTGGGGGATTAAAGTGTTTATTGCCAGAGTTATCAAAAGCTCTGGTTAAATTCTGTACAGTTTCATGAGAAAAATGATGCTTTTCCTCCTGGAGAATGTGTAAGTTCTCCATAATAGCTTTGCTTTTCCAAAATGGAAAGCAAAGCTTGCAGAAAACCCATTTTCCCTAGGGATCAATAATCGGTTTCTAGTCGCCAGTCTCGGTCCCTCTCCTTTGTTACTCTTTGGTCACCGATTGAGTCAGGCCAGAGGGGTGATGGAAAGAAGTGAATTCTCACTGTAAACTTGCATTGATTAACAGAAACAATGAAGCCAAACAAAATAGTTGCCCCAGATTCCTATCTCCAAGAATTGCTTTGTGCCATTCTGAATTCAGGTAGTTATTCTGTATATACTTAGACAACTATTCAGAGCTTCTTCAATCTCTAATAAGTTTGAAGGGAGTATCTGGGAAGACACAGGGCAGGGTGATGTTGAGACCCTGTTCATTCTTAAAAATAGGGATAAGCCAGAGGGATGTGATATCCAATTTGTGGTAGATGAAGAATCAGTGGAAATTCTTAATTGCACAGACTTTATAATTCATTATATAAATTGTAATTCCATACTTTTTACTGTGGCAAGGGTGTGATGTGGTTGTTAAATCTTTTTAATTTTTGAATCCAAACTGAATTTAAAGTGTTGAATACTTAAATTCCTCACAAGCTAATTATGAACCATTTGTAAAGTGTTTCTATAACTCTTTGTATCATGTGTTGGTACATCTTATCAAGTTTTTTCTGGCATGTATTCCATTCTAAACTTCTGTAAAATTTCTATTGTTGCTGTAAATAATTATACAAATATCTACTCCGTGGTAACCTACATTATCAGCATGAAATGGTTAATTTTTACTGAGCACAATGTATTTTTGAATGGATCTTCCCAAATGTCTTTAATAAAATGCAGATTTTGCACTGACTGATGTGACTGCCAGGCCGTCCCAATCTTGAGCACTATGGTCCTTCTTGCATTTGAACAGCGAGCAGCTCGGTTTTAGTTCCTTCTTTGTATATATATATAAAAAAAATTTTTAAAAAAAGCATTTGAATTCAAATGACGGATAATGGGCCTTTGAAGTTGTAATCAGTTTAAGGGAGAGAAATTAATGTAAAGCAAGGCAAATCCTGTTATTTAATGATGTTGATTTTTTCTTTCTTTTCTATTTATAAAGTTCTTTCCCCCTATGGCATTTTGAAAACTTTGGTTTCTTTTACACTTGAGTGTTGTCACTTGTAATGCATTGCTAGAAGCTCACTCGGTGGTTTGAGGAGGATGGGAAGAGATGCCAACCTCGTGCTCAGTGCTGTGGAGAAAGCAAAGATGAACAGCTCCATGAGGGTTTCTTCTTGTGGTAGAGCAGGGGTCAGCAAACTTTTAATGTTAAGGGCCAGATGGTAAATATTGGCCTTGAACATTCTTTTGGTGTTGCCTCTACTCATACTCAACTCTGCCCTAGTGCAAAAGCACCTATAGGATATGTAAATGAGTGCAAAAGCAGCTATAGGATATGTAAATGAATGAGCATGGCTGTGTTCGGATAAAACTTTATTTAAAAAAAAAAACAGGCCAGAGTTTATGGACACTTTTGTGGTTTAGGGAAAGAAGACCTACTGAGTCATGCTCAGCCAGAGAGGCAAGAACTTAAATTTTGTGGTAACTTATGTATAAAATATTCTCTAGTTTTATCTTTGTAAACAAAGAGTAGGAGCTAATACTAAGTTCTTGTATTCTTAGAAAGCACTGTCAAAACAAGCAAAAAAAAGGCACTGTGTCAACCAGTTCTTTACTCTGTGTCCTTAAATGGCATGGAAACTGTGGCCTGTGGTTTCAGCTATACTAAGACTGTATCAAGTATCTGGGCTTATAATTTTTTTATGTTCATAGCACAGTGCCATGTGTTATATTGTTACATTTGCTTTAAATAACAACCCAGTGGAGCAGATACTATTATTATCTCCATTTTGTAGGTTTTCATACTTTGCATTATCTTGCTCAAGGTCACCCAGTTTGGAAGTGGTGCGCCTAGGATTTGAGGCTGAATATGTTAACCATAAGGCCTGTACCCTTAACCACTAGTAAATGGTGCAGCCACTGCATCTCCATGTATAGCACTGACATCAAGTTTAATGGTGGTCCCATTCAGATATCGTTTTCCTTTTAGTAATTCTGGTTTATTCAATTAACTCCAAAGTCCAGATTTTCAAAAACAATTTACAATATAGATCATGTAAAAATATTTGCCTGGAGGAATTTCAGGTGCAAAAATAAACACAACTTAGTTAAATGAAGGAAAGGGGTAACACATTTGGGAGCTGGGGATGTAGCTCAGTGGTAAAGCACTTATCTGGTGCGTATGAGGCCCTGGGTTCAATTCCCAGCACCCCCAAAATGAAAAGCGGGGGAGGGGACTAACACATTTAGAAAAAGCTATTTATATTGATACGTAAGTATATTAATTGGAGCAGGTAATAATGAATCTTCATGTCTTTTTTTTTTTTTTTTTTTCTGTACTGGGGATTGAACCCAAGGGCCTTTTACCACTGAACTACATTCACAACTCTTTCTTATTTTTTATTTTGAGACAGGTTTTCTCTAAGTTGCTTAGGCCCTTGCTAAGTTGTTGAGGCTATCCTCAAACTTGCCATCTTCCTGTCTCAGCCTCCTGAATCTCTGGGCTTACAAGGGTGCACTACCACACCCAATTTAACATTGTTTTTTTTTTTTTAATTGTAGATGCACACAGTACTGTTTATTTTTATGGGTGCTGAGGATGGAACCCAGTGCCTCACATGTGTTGGGAAAGCGCTCTGCCACTGAGCTCTACCTGTAGCCTCAACAATTTATGTACCACCTTCCATCCCATGTCTTGCAGCAGGTCACAACTGATTTGATTTGGGAATGGAACTTTTCATTGAAGTGGTTCAAAGCCCAAGATCTACAATCAGTTTGCCTGAGTGGAGTCCTGACTTCATGAACTAAATTTCCCATGACTTGAGGCAAGATAAATGTAGCTTCCCTATGCTTTGGTTTCCTTCCCTTTAAATGGAGACAATCATAGTACCTACTTCAGAGGGTTGTTGTGAGCATCTAATGAGATACTACAAAGCACTCTATAGAATTTCAATAAATGCTAGCTATTATAACATTATTGCTATTATTTGTGTCCCAGTTGGTGAACTGAGAAAGAATGTCACTGGATGGCTGCCAAGCACTTGTGATACATGTATCCTATTTGATCTTCCTATCAGCCCTCAAAGGTGGTGGTAGCCAAGAAAGGCCAGCTTGGAGCCATTCTTGGGATCACAGGGAAAGTAGCAGCCCTTGTAAGCTGTTTGTCAGCAGGCTTCAGCAACCACATCAGTGAACAGAGGCAGGCTTCTGTCGGCATTTGTTCAAAGGCTCACTTTTAGGGGTGCAGTCTTCTTGGCTCTGAGAATAGATTCATACCAGTACCTCTATCTTGAAATACCTTTGCTTTGTCCAAGTAACCTCCTCCCACACCGAGTACTAGAATCAGCTCAGATTTTTTTTTTCTTAATATTGGCAACACTTAATGCTACTTCTCTGTTCATAACATTTCATTTAATTATTTAAAATCTGCAAAAATGTTGTGTATATTTTACCACATTTTTTTAAAAGTCCCCAAGTGTAGACCACACTCTAGCATTTCTAAAAATAAAAATAAACATGTTAAAATAAAGTAAGAGTGCGTTTTTACTGCATTATGCATTTTTAATTGAAAGTTTCCCCCCACAAAAGAAATGATACTACAAACATATTTCACATGTTTAATAACAAGTTTCTGTTAAGCTTCACATTTCTCTCAATAATAGTTTTATTTTTTTATACATTTTGTCATGAATTTAATGAAGTAAATAATTAGTATGGCTGTTGGGAGCAAATTAACTTCAGGTAAATGTTTTACAGATCTCAGTATTTCATTGTTTATTAATTTCTGAAATACTGAGCAGTGTCCAGTGTGAAATCCCATCTGGCTTCTTTGCAGAAATTAAAATTCATATTGAAATTCAAAGAACCCAGAATAGCCAAAACAATCTTGAAGAAGAACAAATTTGGAGGACTCACTCACATGTCCCAATTTTAAAATTTACCAGAAGCTATAGTGATGAAGACAGTGAGGTAATAGGACTGTGAAATAAACCATCCCATTTAAGATCCATTGATTGATAAGGATGCCAAGACCATTCAAAGGGGAAAGGACAGTCTTTTCAACAAATGGGACTGGAACAACCGGATATCTACATTCAAAAGAATGGAGTTAGACCCCTACTTGATACCATGCACAAATATTAGCTCAAAATGGATCAGAGACTTGAATGTAAAAGGTAGAATTATAGGAGTACCGCTTCATAACCTTGCATTTGGCAATGCTTTCTCAATAACACCAAAAGAACCAGCAAGCAAAAAAATAAGTTGGACTTCATTAAAATTTAAAAATTTATGTGCTTCCAAGGATTCCATCAAGACAGGAAGAAAAAAACCTAGAGTGGGAGAAATAGTTGGAAGTCCTTATAACTCAATTGTAAGATGATTGTAAAATGAGCAAAGAATCTGAATAGATATTTCTCCAAAGATGTACAAATGGCCAGTAAATGTGAAAAGATGCTCAACATCATATCACTAGGGAAAAACAAATCAAAGCTACAACGAAACACACCACGTATACTGGGATGGCTATGATGAAAAACAGACAATAAGCGTTGTGAGGATGTGGAGAAATTGGACCCCTCCGCCACTGCTAGTGGAAACTGCAAACGGTGCGGCCACTTGGGAAAGTAGCTCCTCAAAAAGTTGAACGCAGACTATGACTTAGCAATTCCACTCCCAGGTTCATACCCAAGATAAATGAAAGCAAACATCCACACAAAAACTCACATGCATATGTTCATAGCAGCATTATTCCTAATAGCCAAAAAAAATGGAAACAACCCAAAGGTCCATTGAGGGATGATGAATAAATAACAATGTAGTATATCCATACAATGGAATGCTATTCTGCAATAAAAAGGAGTGAAGTACTGATACATACTACAAGGATGAGCTTTCAAAGTACTGCAAAGTGAAAGAAGCCAGTCACAAACTACCACATGTCATATGATTCCATCTCTATGGAAAAATACCTAGTATAGGGAAATCTACATAAAAATAGAAAATGGGGCCAGGTGCAGTGGCACACACCTGTAATTCCAGCAACTTGGGAGGCTGAGGCAGGAGTGCAAGTTCAAGATCAGCCTTAGCAATTTAGCAAAACTCTCAAAAAAAGGGGAAGGGGGCTGGGGATGTGGCTCAGTGGTTAAGTGCCCCTGCGTTCAATCCCTGGTGCCAAAAAAGAAAAAGAAAAAAAGAAATAGAAAATGGGTTGGTAGTTACCTAAAGTTGCTTGTGATGGTTGTACAACTCTGAGTATACTAAAAATCTTTGAATTACACACTTTAAATGGGTGAGGATTGGATGATATGTTATCTCAATAAAACTATTACAAAACAAATTTCCAACATGAGCAATTATTTGAAGAATGTTTACCCATTTGTCACACTATTTCGGTCTTTATTTTTTTTCCTAAAGTATATTCTTGCTTGCCTTATGAGTTTGACGATGCCAGTTGTAGAAGCCCTTAACTCTTAAGCTACTGCAATTTTCTTTGACAATCTGTTTATAATTTTCTTATGACTTCATTAGTTCAGTTTTTCAAATAATGGTTTTTGCCAGGCACAATGGCACACCCCTATAATCCCAGCAGCTTGGGAGACTGAGGCAGGAGGATCACAGGTGAGGCTAGCCTCAGCAACTTAGTGAGGCCCTAAGCAACTTAATGAAAACTTGTCTCAGAAAAACGAAAAGCCTGGGATGTAGCTCAATGGTAAAGGGCCCCTGGGTTCAATGCCCAGTAACCCGCCCCCCCCCCCATAATAAGGGTCTTTATTCAGCGGTTCTGTCCAAAATGGATTTGTTGATATGTCCTGTGGCCAAGAATGACCCCACCCTACTCCACCAGTGGTCTGTTTATATTTGGGAGAAAACTTAGCAAGAGAAAGCATTTTTCCAGGTATATGGCATGGAGATTAAAAAGATGCTGGCTTGAATATAAAGCTATTCTGAGCCCTAGAACACCAGGGGAGGGATTTGGGGCTTTTAGGAACCTGCCTGTTCACAGAACTGAATGTGATGTCCAGGATCATGTTAGAATGAGTCCATTTACTTCCATTGTTGTTTGAAATTGAAAAACAAGTGAGAAATGACTTGCTAACAGGGGTTACACAGGTCCAGGACATTCTGTGCTTCCCCAATCTCTTTGGAGGGTTTCAAATCCTCTCAGCTCTTACTTTCCATATAGCTCTACCCACCCCTGACCTCCATGTTACTAGCCTCTTCAAGGGAAGGACCTAGAACTCAGGCTGAGCTACACCATCTGCCAAATGAGCTCCAGCAAGAGAAAGCCAGGTCAGGCCTGCTCCTTTCCAAAGAGGTATCAAATGTCAGGGGCAGGTGTTTTTGGATGGCACAAGGCATAGGTTAGAGGGTGAGAGGCTTCCAGGGTAGAAGCTACATGGTTCTTTTTATATTGGGAGCCCTGACCAATTCCTATGAAGCATGCAGTTAACAGGTCACCTCCAAGTGACCAATGATAGCTCCTGGGCCAGCCATTGTCAAAATATTTCTTAAAAACTGGTAGGTAGTCTGAGATAAGGAAATTCTGTTGTGTTGGAGTTATCTGGGGTTCTTAAACATAGGAGATCTGCTACTTAAATGATCAGCCTGCCCCATGCATTTATCACAGAGTTGAGTAGTTTGCCTGAATGAGTTGCAGAATGGAGCCGGATGTAATGGGAGCTCTGGATCCCTCCCCACTCCCTGTGTTCTTTTTTAATTTTTGGTACTGGGGATTGAACTCAGGGTCACTCGACCACTGAGCCACATCCCCAGCCCTATTTTGTATTTTATTTAGAGACAGGGTCTCACTGAGTTGCTTAACTCCTCACTGTTGCTCAGGCTGGCTTTGAACTCCCAATCCTCCTGCATCAACCTCCCAAACTCCTGAGATTACAGGCATGTGCCACCAGGCCAAGTTCCCTGTGTTCTTCAAGCTAATACTCTACCCCACCCCACTCCCACAAGGTGAAAACTGAACAGGGAAGCTTTCCTACCTTTCCTATCTTGAACATTTAGTCCTTTGTCATGTACAGGATCTCAGTTGACCAGGACCATTGTGGGGCATGCCACAGGCTCCCATCTACTTCATTTGTACTGCTACCCAGTCTCCCCCATAACTTCAGCTACCTCTCAAGTCTTCAAGGCCATGGCTGAATGAAAATGTAACTACAAGCCTGCTTCCCTTCAGCATTCAAGCAAAGCTTTACAAAACTGTACATTCCTGTTTTGAATGTGGTTGAGCAAAAAAGATTTTTCAAATTATCAGGGCTGCTTTGTATTCCCCTGGGATTGCACCTTTCACAGTGTCGCCAAGACAGAGAGAGAGCAAGCAAGAGGGAGTGCAGCAAATTACCCCTGCTACTGAAGCTTTCATAAGAAAATTGGTTTGGGGGATATTTTCTTTGTTCTTATTTTCTTTGGCCCTCAGTGGGAGGGAAAGTTCATTTTCTTTCATTGGAAACTATATTGCTTTTTAAAAAATGAAATATTCTCTACCAAGCTCTGCATTTAAAAGTGCTTGTAACAGGGCCACACCTGTAATCCTAGCACCCTGGGAGGCTGAGACAGGAGGATCACAAGTTCAAAGCCAACCTCAGCAAAAGTGAGGCTCTAAGCAACTCAGGGAAGTCAGAGACCCTGTCTCGAAATAAAACACAAAATAGGGCTGGGGATGTGGCTCAGTGGTTGAGTGCCCCTGAGTTCAATCCCGGGTACCAAAAAAAAAAAAAAAGGTCCCTCCCATACCCATCCACCCTGTGGCAGGGCCAAGCTGAGGCAGGCATCAGGCACACTTGCTGACGCATTCCAGCAGCTCCATGCGGATGGCAATGCGGACGTGCCAGCCCAGTGGGATCAGGCGGATAAAGCGGGAAATGATGGGGGGCCGCAGCAGGTTCTGGACTGTGGAACTTCTATCTGAGTTTCCGTAGAAGACCTAAAGAGAGGAAGGAAATCCTGTTACCATTACATCAAGGGAGAGAAAAAGACAACCAACTACTATCTGGAGTCAACTCCAACTTTGAACCATGGAAAATTCTAGAAAGTAGTTATAGTGCAAAGAATTTACAAGTACCCTGTAAAATCTGACCTTTCATAATTGTCAGCACCTACATGCTTGAGGCATTTCTGAATATATGAAGACTTTTGGAACTACACCATCCAATGTGGTAGCCAGTAGCATCTATTTAAATTTATATGAATTAACATTAGATGAAAATTCAGTTTCTCAGTCACTTTTTTTTTCTTTTTTTTCTTTTTGTAGCACCAGGGATCAACCTCAGGGTCTCATCCATGCTAGGCAAATGCTCTACCACTGAGCTGCACCCCCAGCCCACATTAGCCACATTTCAATGTATATCATTGGACAACACATATGAATATTTCCATTACTGCAGAAAGTCCTATTGGGTAGCACTGATAGAAAATACCTCTTGCTAACAGATGTGATTCTGCAATCTGTATTTGGGGTAAAAATGGGAGTTCATAACCAACTTGAATCTAATGTATGAAACATGATATGTCAAGAGCTTTGTAATGTTTTGAACAACCAATAAAAAAAATAAAATAAAATAAATAAAAGTAATTTTCTCCTAAAAAAAAAAAAAAAGAAAGAAAAGAAAATACCTCTTGCCAGGTATGATGGCACACATCTGTAATCCCAACTCCCTAGGAGGATAATGCAGAAGGATCACAAATTTGAGCCCAGCCTCAGCAACTTAGTGAGACCCTATCCTCTCTCAGAAAATGAAAAGGTCTCAGAAAAATTTAGTTCAGTGGTATAGCACCCCTGGATTCAATCCCCAGTACCAAAAAAAAAAAAAAAAGCTTTTTGACTCTTACTGTCAATTTTGTGTTTTTGTTGTCTGCATTTTGACAAGACAGTTTAAAAAGCCCATATCATACTTACAAGAAGAATGTTCCCATGTTTCAAAGGTATCCCAAATGGACTCAAATAGAAACGTGTGCCTGGCTCTGAAGCTGTGAACCAGAGCTGAAATGTGTGTTCCTACTTTGTTACTAGTGACAAGTACCTTTTAGACTTGGAAAAATATTTTTTTAAACACATAAAAACTGGAGGGTGGTATCATAGAGAAAAAAAGGGTTTGATGCATAGTGTTTTTCAGGAAGTAGCATGCAATGGAAGTAGCATGCAAAAAGATGCAATGGATGTTTGACAGTATTTCCAAAGAAATCATTCTTTGCATTCTTCCCAGAGTCATAGTGTTCTCTTCCACGACATGGGAACACTTCATTTCCTTTTGAGATAATCTCCTGAATTTGGCCTTAAACATCCACTAACCAAGGCTGGCCTTATCTCATTGACAAAGGTGTCAACAACATATACTGGAGGAAAGACAGCCTTTTTACAAACGGTGCTGGGAAAACTGGATATCCATATGTAAAAGACTGAAACTAGATCCCTATCTCCCATCCTGGGCAAAAGTCAACTCAAAATGAATCAAAGAGCTGGACATGGTGGCGCATGCCTGTAATCTCAGCAGTTTGGGAGGCTGAGGCAGGAGGATCACAAGTTCAAAGCCAGCTTCAGCAATGGTGAGGCGATAAGCAATTCAGTGAGACCCTGTCTCTAAATAAAATACAAAATAAGGCTGGGGATGTAGCTCAGTGGTTGAGTGCCCTGAGTTCAATCCCCAGGACCAAAAAAAATGGTATCAAAGACTTAGGAATTAGACCAGAGACTATACAACTGCTAGAAAACACAAGGGAAACACTTCAAGACATAGGCATAGGCAAAGATTTCCTGAATAGCTCTAATAGCTCAAGAAATAATAGCAAGAATTGACAAGTTGGATTGCATCATATTAAAAAGCTCCTACACAGTAAAGGAAACAACAGAGTGAAGAGACAACCTACAGAATGGGAGAAAACCCTTGGCAACTACTATTCCCACAGAGGACTAATATCCAGAATATATAAAGAACTCAAAAAACACCAAAAAATAAAAATAACCCAATCAATAAATGGGCAAATGAACTGAACAGACAGACCCTTCCGAAAAGAAGACAAATGACCAACAATTGTATGAAAAAAAATGTTGAATATCTTTGTCAGAGAAATGTGAATCAAAACTACATTGAGAATTCATTTCACCCCAGTCAGAATGTCTATCCTCAAAAATAAAAATAATAATAAATGCTTGAGCTGGGCATGGTGGTACACATCTGTAATCCCAGCAGCTCGGGAGGCTGAGACAGGAGGATTGCAAGTTCAAAGCCAACCTCAGCAATGGCAAGGTGCTAAGCAACTCAGTGAGACCCTGCCTCCAAATAAAATACAAAATAGGTCTGGGGATGTGGCTTAGTGGCTGAGTGCTCCTGAGTTTAATCCTCTGTACCTAATAATAATAATACTGGTGAGGATGCAGGGGAAGAGGAACCCTCATACACTGCTAGTGGGGATGTTAAATTAGCACAGCCACTAAGGGAGTCAATATAGAGGTCAAAAGCTAAAAACAGAACTACCATAGAATTCAGCTATAGCACTACTGGATGTATCTGAAAGAATTGAAGTCAGCATACTTACACAAGTAACTGCATACCCAAGTTTATTGAGGCACAATTTACCATAGACAAGTATTGGTGCCCATCAACAGATAAATGTATAAAGAAAATGTGATGTATATACACAATGGAGTATTATTCATCCATAAAGAATGAAATTATGTAATTTGCAGGAAAATGGGTGGAGCTGGAGGACATCATTTTGAGTAAAATAAGCTGTACTTGAAAAGATAAGTATTGGGCTGGAGATATAGCTTTGTGGCCAAGTGCCTGCCTAATATACATAAGGCCCTGGGTTCCATCCCCAGCACCACCAAAATAAATAAATAAATGAATGGATGTCAGGCATGGTGGCACACGCCTGTAATCTTAGCAGTTCAGGAGGCTGAGGCAGGAGGATCAAAAGTTCAGAGCCAGCCTCAGCAATTTAGCTAGGCCCTAAGTAACTTAGTGAGACCCTGTCTCTAAATAAAATACAAAAAAGGTCTAGGAATGTGGCTTAGTGGTTAAGCTTCCCTGGGTTCAATTCCTGGTATCAATAAACAAACAAATAAATAAATGACATGTTTTCTCATGTGAAATCCAGAAAGAAAAAAAGATAACATGAGAAGGGAGACTATTCATTAGCAAGAAGGATATTGGGGCAGGGGAGAGAAAGGCTGGAAATGAAGGGGTAAATGATCGAAATGTGTTATCTGATGTATGACTATAATATAACGAAATTAATATGTACTAAAAATGAAATAACAGGACAGGCCTTGTCTGCCATGATCTTGCTTTTCTTCCCAGTAGTAACACCTAATGTTATCCTCTCTCAGCTGTCTGTCCTGGAGTTATTCCAATCAGGAACCAGATATAGAGGGGACTATGGAACAGGCTCCACTAGTTTATGCAAATACCAGAAGTGAGTGAACAATGACTATCAAGACCTGTGCAAGAAACACAGGGCTTTAATATGTGGATGCTAACCCAAAACAAGGGAGTGTGGCTAGGGCAAGAATAGAAATCCAGTGGATTATAGACAAAGGAGAATGAAGGAAAGGGAACGGGAGGGAAGAGAAAGGACAGTAGAATTAATTGGACATAACTTTCCTAGCCTTGTGTTTGGAATACATGATCACGGTAATTCTACATCACGTACAACCACAAAAATTAGAATAAGTTATATCCCGTGTATGTATAATATGTTTGTCCTGGAGTTATTCCAATATAAAATACATTCTACTGTCATGTATAACTATAAGAGAACAGCAACAACAAAAAGGCACGGGGCTTGAAATAGAATCCTAATATCTTTTGGAAAAGCCAACTAATAAGAACAAAAATGAATTTAGATGTCCAAATATCAAGATGGTTTTTTCCCATTGTGTCCGAACTCCTCAACCTCATCCATGAATGTCATACTTTGCAGATTGTCATCAGACTGACCACAAAGCCTTCTCATTCTCAGACATACAGGTCTGCTTAACCTAGTCAAATGTCAAAATGAACCTGGGTAATTCCTTACTCTTAGGCAAAAAATACTTAACATTTCCAAACAGGTAGTGAATTTTTAACTCATTTTTGTTCATTTCAAATATTTATAGTCAGGAATCTAATGTGTTTAGTTTGTGATGAAGAAGACTTTGGTCTCAGTTTTCAAAGATTAATAAGATGTAGGGTTGCCCAAAAGTTTAAGTGTCTGTTCTTGCACTGGTGGAATCCTTTTAATAAACACTAGTGTGATTAGGCAGCTAACTTGCTAGGTTGTCAAAAGGTTTCCAGCATTCAATCTCAGATCAATAGTAAGGAGAGGCCATATCTATACAAATGCATGATTATCTACCTGTGTCTGTAATGGATCAAGCCAAACCCATGAAGCAAAGTGTGTTCAGTGATCCAGTGAGTTTGCAATACTCCCTATAGCCAGTCTTGGGTCTTTAGGCAACTATGCACTGATAGAAATCAGACAAATATTTCCTTTGCATAAAAGAGCAACATTCATTCACAAACTGCCAGGCACTAACGCGACAACCAGGAAAGATCAAACTGAATTGCAGGAAAGAAGCACAGATGACCCACTCTGCCATGAGATTAGTGCTCTGACAGAAGGTGACGAACACAACACAGGGATAAGAGAGGAGTCCCAGAGAGGGTGTATGCTGAAGATGGGTTTTGGGTAAGCTCCACTTACCCGGTTGTTTCCAGTTTGGTCCTTATAGTAAATCCAGTTCAGGCTCTCATCACTCCTGTACTGCACACTATACTTGGTCATCCACTCATCGATGTCACAGCGCCCCTGGGTAAGGATCCCTGAAATCACCTTGATCTCCTTCAGATCTATTTGTAACCACTGGCTGCTGTCTTGGAACTTGGAGAGCCACGCACACCTGCCAGAAACACATCAAGTCACCAGGAGCCTTCCCCTGTGAGTGCCTGCAAATAGCCAGCAAGCACCAGAAGATACCATCCCCCAGTTCAAGTCTTTGTACCTGCCGTAACCCATGCGTCTTATTCTCCCTCACCTGACCATCTGTTATGGTTTGGACGTGAGGTGGCTCCCAAAAGCTCATGGGTGAGACAATGCAAGAAGGTTTAGAGGATAAATGATTGGGTTAGGAGAGCCTTTACCCAATCAGTGAATTAATTCCCTACTAGATTAACTGATGGTAATTGAAGGCAGATGGGGTGTGGCTGAAGGAGGTGGGGCATTATGGGTATGACTTTGGGTATATATTTGTATTTGGCAAGGGGCGACTCTCTGCTTTCTGATCATCATGTGAGCTGCTTCCTTCTACCATACTTCTAGCATGTTGCTCTGCCTCACCTTCAGCCCCAAGGGATTACAACCTCTGAAACTGTGAGCCTCCAAATTAACTTTTCATCCTTTACAGTTGTTCTGGCTGGGTCTTTTAGTCACAGCAGTGAAAAAGCTGACTAAAACACAATCTTCAAGTCTCAGATGAAATATCTTTTACTTAGAAAATCTTCCCTGGGCCAGGTACGGTGTTGCACCCCTGTCATCCAAGTAGTTTGGGAGGCTGAGACAGGAGGGTCACGAGTTCAAAGCCAGCGTCAGGAACAGTGAGGTGCTAAGCAACTCAGTGAGACCCTGTCTCTAAATAAAATACAAAATAGGGCTGGGGATGTGGCTCGGTGGTTGAGTGCCCCTGAGGTCAATCCCCAGTACAAGAGAAAAGAAAGAAAGAAAGAAAACCTTCCCTGGTTCCAGGAGCAGTGGTGCATGCCTGTAATCCCAGGAGCTTGGGAGGCTGAGGCGGGAGAATTGCAAGTTCAAAGCCAGCCTCAGCAACTTAGTGAGGCCCTGAGTAACTCAGTGAGACCCTGTCTTTAAATTAAAAAGGAGCCAGGGATGTAGGGATGTGGCTCAGTGGTTAAGTGCCCTGGTACCTGGTACAAAAAAAAAAAAAAAGCCTTCCCTGGTACTTGCAATGGATGAGATCTTAGTTCCTTCTTCATTTTCCTCACAAGCTTCATCACACTTACTGAATAATCGGTTGTGTGCTGATGTGCTTACAGTCTGTCTGTTCCTCTAAACTGTGCACCTCCTGAAGGCTAGGACCTTATCCATCCTGTCCACTGCTATACCCACAGTCCTTGGCACATGAAAGGTACTCAGTATTTGTTGAATAAATAAGTGCATTCTGTGCCATTTGTTTATTAGAGAAACCTTTTTTTTTTTTTAAGGTATATGGGAAAAACAAAAACAGAAAACCACCTGGGACTGCACTACTTACCCAAAGCCTTGACTGTTGAGCCGAGCCTTGTTTGCAGTCCATGAGGAATACCAGCCCACATACTGCTCCGGATTGGAGCAGGTGATCTGGTCTGGTGTGACCTCCCCCGACTCAAAACCCAGGGGCTTGTGATATGGGCATTCTGGAAAGGAAAAACAACGCACATTCAATTCAAACATCCATACCTCTAGCCAGGCACAGTAGTACACACCTGTAGCCCCAGCTGCTTGGAAACTGTAGTGGCATGTAAGCCAAAAGTACAAGGCCAGACTAGTAACAGAACAAGACCCCCATCTCAAAAAGAAAAATTAAAAACAAGCCCTCCCACCACCACATCTCAGTACTCAGATGATTGAAGTAACAAAGCAACCTTATCTTGTTTGCAGTGTGGAAATGGAGAATGTTTTACTTGTCAGCAAGGAGGTTCACAAAAGCCTTCAACTGTTTACTGCTCATGCGGAAAGAGCATGAAGGATGAAGTGAAGGGATTGCCATAGAGACTCAACGTTCAGAAAAGCGGAGGGAAATGGTTCTATGGCAACCTCATGGGGGGAGGGGGATTTGAGAAATACTCCTCCTCCACCAACTTTGAGACCTAAACACTAAGAGGTACTCGGTAAAATAGCATATTTAAATGTCAGACATCTTCAGTTCCCTCATTAGCTCGCAGGTTTAGCCATGCTGCATGATGACATCAGGGTCTCTAATTGTTCTTGGGCAGCAGATGATGCCAATTATAGGAATAAAACAATGGTGAGCCAGCAAGAAAGGCAATTATAAATTGACTTCCCACTTGTAAATTGCTGTTTTCTCACCAGTCTAATGCAAAAAATAAAAATAAATAAATAAAAATAGGTGAAGTATACCTGAGTGACTATTGAATACGGATCAGCTGAAAGACACTGCTTTTTCCAAATGGAAATAGCCCAAATTGGGCTATATGCTGTTTCCTCGTATTGACAACAGTATTGGGTTACCTGATCAGAGACTGCCAATTGCCAACCCAACCACCATTTCCCCCTTCTCTTAGACTAAAAAGGCTTAATTTTATTGGTGACAGCAATGTGGCCAGCTAAAGAGGCAATCGTTTGCAGGCTTTCTTGCAGTTAGAAGTAACCACATGACATAATTTCTGACCAGTGAGATGTAAGAAGATGCTAGGGATTTGTGGTCAAGTTTTGCTTGCCCCTTCTTTCTCCCAGTTGTCTAGATTGAAGGATCTGATAGCTGGTGTAACTGTAGCCATCTTCTACCATGGGGTAAGAAGAACTATAGAGCCCTCAGCCCTGATATTCTTTTTTCTTTTCTTTTCTTTCTTTTTTTTTTTTTTTGTACCAGGAATCGAACTCAGGGGCACTCAACCACTGAGCCACATCCCCAGCCCTATTTTGCATTTTATTTAGAGACAGGGTCTCACTGAGTTGC